GGCAAAACCAGTCACCCAATGGTTTTCCTAAGGTCACACTTGGAGTGAGACATCTTGGGTCTGAATTCTGACTCCGCCCCATTAGATATGAGACCTGGGGGGAGGAGGAGTCAGGTAAACACACTCAGCTTCATCTTCCTCCTGTAGGAAGTAGGGGGTGACAAGGCTTTTGTTATAAGAAATAAATGTTATGTAAATGACTAGCAGTGCCTAGGGCCTAGCAACCTGTCCATAAATGGTGATCATTACTATTGTCTATGACAGGAGGAGCATCTAGAAGTCCACAGATGCTGAACATTGTCTATCCTCTGACCAGGAGGAAGGAAGGCCCTCCAGATGCTCAGATGTTCTCTCCCATGTCATCTGCTGAAGGAGTGGCTGTGGCCCCCTAACGCCTCTGTCCTTGTCCAGATCAGCCTGTGGGAGCAAAGGCCTTCAAACAGCAAAATACCACTTCCTCCTTCTCTGCCTTCAATCTCCTAATATATAATAGGATCCAAGGGGACTACCTTACAGGTGAACCCTGACACAGACAGGACTTTCCTCTTTCCCTCTACTGGGGTTTTGGAAATTCAGGGCCAGAGCTGCCATCATTAGGGGTGATTTGGGCCAGGGGCTCTGTACTCACCCCTCACTGTTCATTAATGATAAGATTTCCCCTTTGTATCTCAGACTTTTTTTTTTTAATCTTCAAAAGTTTCCCATGAGGATTTTGATACATAAGAGAAATCAGGATCCTGGAGCTGAAAGGTAGCTTGGACACCAACTGGTCCAATCGGTGCATTCCTTGCTTTAAGAAACTAAAGCTCACACAAAAAAAATAAAAGTAAAAATACCATATGATCTAGTAATTTCACTACTGGTTATTTACCCAAAGAAAAGGAAAACACTAATTTGGAAAGATATATGCACTCCCATGTTTATTGCATCATTGTTTATAATAGCCAAGATACGGTAGCAGCCCAAGTGCCCAACCATAGATGAATGGACAAAGAAGACATGGGGGCGCCTGGGTGGCTCAGTTGGTTAAACGTCCAACTTCGGCTCAGGTCATGATCTCACGGTTCATGAGTTCGAGCCCCACATCGGGCTCTGTGCCTACAGCTCTGAGCCTGGAGCCTGCTTCGGATTCTGTATTTTTCTCTCTCTCTCTCTGCCCCTCCCCTGCTTGCTCTCTGTCTCCCTTTCAGAAATAAACATGAAAAAATAAAAAAAAGAAGATGTGGTATATATCTACAAGGGAATATCAGCCATAAAGAAGAATGAGATCTTGTCACTTGAAACAACATGGATAGACCTAGAAGGTGTTATGCTAAGTGAAATAAGTTAGGCAGAGAAAGACAAATACCATGTGATTTCACTTCTACGTGGAATCCATAAATGAAAACAAATGAATAAACCAACAGAAACAGACTCATAAATGCAGAGAACAAACTGGTGGCTGTGGGGCAAGGGGAGATGGGCAAAATGGATGAAGGGGAGTGGGAGACACAGGCTTTCAGATATGGAAGGAATAACCACCAAGGCTGAAAAGCACAGCGTAGAGGACAGCCAGTGGTATTATAACGTGCTGTATGGTGATACAGAGCATAACCTATAGAGCTGCTGAATCACTATGTTGTGCATTAATGTTGTATGTCAACTATACCTCAATTTAAAAAAAGGAAACTGAAGCTCGATACAGCATTTTAGGTTTTACTGAATCATTTCACATTCACTCTCTCCCTGGTTCCTCTTGAGGATTCTTTAAGGGAGGTATTACCAGTATCCTTGTTTATAGATAAGGACATTGCGGAATTTAGTACAACATAATGGTAAGAGTAAGTGCTCCGGAGCCAGATGGGCAGGGTCAAATTCTGGCTCCGTTACTGACTAGCTATGTGACCTTGAGGAAGTTACGTAACTTCCTTGTGCCCCATTTCCCCCATCTGTGAAGTGGGGACAGTACCTGGTGCAATGGCAATGCCGAATACATGTCAGCCAGTCTTACTGTTATTCCCTAAGCCAGTACACAGTAGACTTGCTGGTTCTTCCACATGTGTTTACTGATCCCCTACTATATGTCAGGCGCCATGAAAGGTACTGAAGATACAAAGTGAGCCAAACCAGACATTATCCCTTCCCTTATGGAGTTTAAAGTCTAGTGAGGGAGACATGCATCAATCAGAATGATCACATTAATGCAAAATTGTACTGACAGCAGGTACTGTGAAGGAGGCACAGATGGTGTTATAATGAGATGGTAGAGATCATCTGGGGCTCCAGAAGGACCTCCTTGACGAAGTGAAGACCACCTTGATGTGGATGAGTGAGTTGGAATTAGCCAGACTGGGGGCTGGTTGAGAGGACAGTTAGAATGGGGCAGAACAGCTTGGGGGGTGGGGGGGGCATAGAGAAGACGAAGTGGAGGGATGGCACTGACACGTTGAGCTGGAGCACAGAACCAGGGCACACGTGGGATAAGACCAGCCGGTGGTAGGAAGAGCTGATCATTTGGGGCCTCGTGGGCCATATAGAAGATTGTGATCTTTGTCCTAGAAGCCAGAAAGAAGGATGGTAAGCTGAGAAGTGACAATGATCCGATCTGTGTTTTGAAAAGATTAGTATGACTGCAGTGTGGGGGATGGATTCCCCTGTGGCAAGAAGGGGTGCAGGCATGACAGGTAGGAGGCCTCGGGTCACAGGGACATGGGTCTGCACTCAGAGGAGAGGTCTGCGCCAGAGATAAAATGTGTCCCTCCTTGGCAGGCTGATTACAGCCATGGTCATGGGGCGGGTGAGGGGGAGACAGTCTAGAGCTGTGCAGTCCAATACAGTAACCACGAATCACATGCACCTCTTAAGCCACTACACCGTGCCTGGTCTGAATTGAGATGTGCTGTAAATACAAAATACACACTGAATTTTGAAGTTATAAAATACTGTGAAATACCTCATTAATAATTTTCTATCGGTTGCATGTTGAAAGGATAGTATTTTAGATCCATTGAATAAAATAAAATAAATCATTACAATTAATTTTATCAGTTTCTTTCAACCTTTTATTTTAATGTGGCTACTTGAGAATGACATAGGGGACTGAGATTTGTGGTTCCCTGTAAGCTTCAGTTGGACAATGCTGAGTCAGAAGAGAAGAGGGTCCAGAACCCAGCCCCCAGCAAAGAGGAAGGTCAGCCAGCCCCTTAATTATTGACTGCATCTAGGTGGGTGGAGAGGGTTGCAGGGGGATTGCGGGGAGCGGTTATGGAAATGGAGGGGGAGTGGGGAGGCCTAAGGAGGTAAGGCTCCAGTAATCGGAAAAAGCATGGAGTCTGGAGAGCAGGTGGGTAATTCAACCACTCCCTAAGTTTGTACGGCACGGGGTGGCGCAGCACAGAGAGAGCCCTTTGAGAGACATTTTGCCGTAGTACAGACGAGATTCCTACTTACCAGCCTCTGCTCTGTGCTTGGTTAAATGTCTGCATCAAGCTCAGCCCTGGGCCGAAGGAAGCAGACTATTCCATAATAACTTGACTACTTCTTAAATATTACTTTCCACAATTCCGCCTTTACCCTTGCGTGGGCAAAGAGCTCCGCCCCACCTGATGGGGAAGGAGGCGGCACCAGACCGACCCGGCAGTACTTCGGAAGTTGGGGTCTTAGTTTTCGCGCCCGTCACTCCACTGGGCGGTAGGTGAGCCCAAGGCCCCTCCCCCTCCCGCAGTCTGGGTTTGCGGCTGCGTGACCTAAACAGCTAGGTGTGTGGTTCTTTACAGCTGAACACGGGGAAAGGCAGCGTTGCCGAGTGAGGGTGTGTGTGTGTGTGTGTGTGTGTGTGTGTGTGTGAGTGTTGAGAATGGGGGCGGGGCGGTGCCTGGTGCAAAAACCTAGTTCCACTCCTGTCAAAAGGAAACTCAAGGGGAAACTGCTCACTTCATCTTGGACACGTTTTCTAGCTATAATTGGTGAATATGCAAACGAGAGGCCCACAAGGTCTGAAAGGGGCAAATCACTCTAAGTGAGGGACAGGGGGAAACGGGGTCTTATCCGGGGAGCCTTGGCACCGCGCGCGCCCTTAGGTGGGTGCCCTCGGCGGGACGGCAGCGAAAGCTTAGCGCTGGCGCGTCCCGGCCCCGCCGTGGCCACCGCCCGGGGGCGCCCCGAGGCCCGGCCCCCGCCCCGCCCCCGCCCCACCCCCACCCCTGCCGTGCGGTCGGGGCCTCCGCGCCCCAGGGTGCTGTCTCTTCCGCCGCCGCTTCCAGGCGCGCTGGTCTGCGGGGTCTCCTCGGAGCGGGGCCCGCCGCAGCCTCCCTTCGTCCCCGGGCGCGGCGTGGCGGCCCGCAGTAGGGGTCCCCGGCGGCGCCCCAGTAGGTCGGGGTAGAGCGGCCGGCTTTGTTCCCTGAGACCCGACGGCACGGGGGCCCGTGCGTCTGGCGGCCGCGGCGGCGGCGCTGCAGTGGTGGGAGCCCGGCCGGCCCGCCCGCCCGTAGCCGGGCGCTCGCAATGCACCACCGCCGCCGCCGAGCGCGCCGAGCCTCGTCGGGCCGGCCGGGCCCCCCGACCGCGAGCGGCCCCCGCGCCCTCCTGCGTTAACTGCTGGAGTCCGCCTCCTCCCCGGCCCGCTCGCCGCTCGCCGCAGTACGAGCCGCCTCCCCGCCCCCGCCCCCCGCGCCGCCGCCGCCGCCGCCGCAGGAGAGGGAGGGAGGGAGGGAGGGAGGGAGGGAGGGAGGCGGCGGGGCCGAGCCCAGAGCCCGTCCCGGGCGCTGGCGAGCGAGCTCCGGCCGCGGCGGGAGGCGCCATCCGGGGGCCGCCGGGCAGCCGCGGCGCGCCGCGCTCTCCGAACGTCTCGCAGCCGCCTCCCCCGCCGACCCGGCCTCATCCTTCCCGCGGTGGGGAAAGAAGCTCCCCCCTCGGCGCAGGAGAGACTCATTTTTTTTTTTTCCTCCTCGGGAGGGTGTCGCCACCTGGATTGCCAAGTGTGAGGGGTCCGGGAGGCGGGGACCGGAGCACGGCGACCCGCCATGGCTCAAGCGGCTAAACAGCTGAAGAAAATCAAAGACATCGAGGCTCAGGCCCTCCAGGAGCAGAAGGAGAAGGAGGAATCCAACAGGAAGCGGAGGAACCGCTCCCGTGACCGAAAGAAGAAGGTAAGAGGGGGGCGGCGGCGGCCGCCCAGCGGCAGAGGCGCCCTGGAGGTGGCCGCTGGGGGAAGGGGCTCGGCGGACCTAGGACCGTGGTTGGGGCCCGGGGCCCGGGCGCCGGCGGAGTTGATGCCGCTCGAGAGTGCAGGACGCGGGGTGGGAGAGGAGGAGGCGAGAGGCTTCGGTGCGGCGGGGCAGAGGACAGGGCAAGAGGCTGGAAGGGCAGAGCGGGCGGCCAGGAGGCTGAGGGCGCGCGGAAGCCCGCCCGCCCGCCCGCCGGTCGCGGAGACCTTTCAGCACCTTGGACAGATGCCGGCAGGCCCGCCGCGCTCCGGGAGGAACTTTTGCAGCCTCCCGGCGGCCGGCGAGGGTGATGGGCTGCCTGCTCCGCTCTGTCTCGCCGCCTCTCCTGGCTTTGCAAGGAAGCTGGTGTGGGTAAATGCGGCTCTGGGCTCTGGAGGCTGCCCTGCCCGGCGCCTCCCCCGGTGACCCGCACTCCGACCGGGAGAGCTTTGTTCCCAGGTCTCTGAACGAGGGGACTCTGGTCCTTTTTCGACCCTTCTCCAGCCTGGGAAGCGCCTTTCCTAACCCTCTAGGGCCGGCGGCTGAAGGCATGCCCCCGGGGCATTTGGCAACATCTTGTGTTCGGGTCACACAAGATGAGCGACTGATGGCCAGGAGGGGAAGTTCCTTTGGAAGCCAGACACTGGTGCTGTCCAGCTTGGCCCAAGGGCCTGGTCAGAGAACAGGTCTGCCTTTTGTCGAGGAGTGCCACACAAGATATCTCCAAGACCCAGACCCCACAGGGCAACTGTTGGTGTGTTGAGCGCTTCTCTTCTGGGTCTGGGGTCTCCCTGCCCCTGACTCAAAGCACCTTTAGAAATACCTTTGGTGAGGAACACCTCTTAGTCTGAAACACCTTTGATTGTGAAGGGAGGGTGCATTTAACTGGGCAGAGGCCTGAGAGGTGTTTTAGAGCCCCCATGGAGGAGGCCCAGAGTACACGGATGCAGTCCTGGGAACTGGAGATAGGGCTGAATTCCAGCATCAGGAGAACTGTTTTCACCCGAAGAAGTCGATGTGGGTCACAGCCTGCAAGCCTCCTCACCAAGGAATGGGGCCCCCAGGGTTCCAGGGCAGAAGCATTGGTCTTGATTGAGAAGGAAACATTTTTTTTTTTCTTTCTTTCTGAAATTGTCTTATCCTGAGAAAGAAGTTTGGAGCCTTGGTTGACAGCAGAGTGTGGAGAACAGACTGCTTGTGGGTCACATTCCACTTACCAGTTGGTCAGCAAGACAAACACGCAGCCTTTTCCTAGAGATGAGACGCAGGGGCAGAGATGTTCTTGCTTGTCACCGAAGTAACCATCCCACTCTAGGCGTCCCTGCACCCCTTCAAGAGCCGGCCCCTCCTCCCTCAAGGGATTTCCATCGTGTGTGTAAATAGTAGTTTCCCAAAAGCACCACCCCTTTAGCAGGACCAAAAAAGAGGCCTTCCCCAAACCTGTGGTGAATCAGAGTTTGGGTTGGTGCCACTTGGAGAATCTCAAGTCCTTCTGCTAGGGTCTGAAATACCAGAGCCCATCCTGTGAGTCAGGCAGGGGGAAGTCTGGTTATATCTGACAGTGTTCACCCACTTTCTTGGCATGAATGTAAACTTCTTGTTAGGAAAGCGTGCTCTCTATTTCCATTCCTGCCTATCGCTTTAGGAGCCAAGCCGATCCTCTCCCAAACTGCTCACTCAGTGTTTTTATCTCACTTCTTCTTCTGGAGCTTCTTCCTTGATGCTCCTGATCCCTTAACTAATTTTTTTTTTTTGAGCAGTAGTCAAAAAAGAACTCTCCCTTCTTCTCTTCTTTGGTTTCTTTCCATCCTGTGAAGCTCCCGTCAATGTAAGTCTGAATCCCGACTGTGTACAATACACACTCATAAAAATGGCAAGATCAATATTCTTTTTACTTCTTTAGTCATCTTTACATTCTTATAAACTTTATGTCCATTTTGAGTGTTAGACGAAAGCATATTTCCCTCCTCCTGAGTTGTGTTGTTTTACTAGCTGGTTGTAGCATACTGCGTCAGCGAGCATTCAGAAATCTTCCATACAGATATTCATTACTGCATGCAGTACCCTGGATGCTACGATTGATATGATATTAAGGAAATCTTAAGTCAAAGTGATAGCGATGACATACACCCTGAGACCTGGTCATGTGGGTGAGGGCATGGTATAGGGTGAGGTGAGGGGTGCTTCATTTGTATTTCATAATGATTGTGAGTTCTCTTAGCTATTGTCATGGTCTTGAGAGCCATCTCAGAGAATAGAGTTAAAATTTATAGCAAAATACAAAATCACAAGAAGGTGGAAGGCCCTCGAGGGAAGGGTGGGGGAGGCAGGGCAATGCAGAAAAAGATATTTAGAGAAGACAGAGGAAACTCATGAAAGGGCTGGGAAGCAGATGGCTAGGGTTGAAGGTTCATATAAGGTGAAGTCTCACTTAGGCCCGATTTTTACAGATGAGGTGATGCTTTAAAGGAGGGCTTCTTAAAACCAAACAGCTGAAGACTTTACAGTTGGTCACCACAGGCTGTGGGGCTTCTGCGGAACCCTCCTTATAATCAGCACCAAGAAAGAACTTCATAAATGCAAATGAACATTTTATTCCCGTGAACCGGTAATTCCTATGAAGGTATAGTTGAGCCAGGGGCATTCTGAATTTACTAAAAGGAAAGGTGTTTGTCCCATGGGTAACCTACTTAGCAGGGACTGACTGAGCAGCACCGCATCCCTCCCCGTTTGTAGAAATAATTGTGGTTGTAACTTCAACAGTGGTTGCAGTTTTTACAGTTGATGATATTGTGTGGGAAGGCGCTTGCTGAGGGGTGCTGTGCTAATGGTGGATGGAGGCTGATGTTGTGACGCACTGACTGACACAGATAGAAACCACCTCGACACAGGGAATTGAGCTAAAACTCTGGAGCTCTAAAAATGCCTGCATTCTTCTGGGGCTTCATTCAGTTTTCTGTTTGTGTAGCACGCATCCTTGTCAGATGCTGGCTGTTGGAGCTGCAGCTTTAAAAAAAAAAACAAACACCCAGAATTTATGACATTTACTGATAAGTTCCCCTGCTTCTGAAGGTTGGGATGGAAATAAATAAATCGCAAAGCATGTGTAAAGCAGGCATTTGCATCAAGAATGAAAGGTTTCTAAGGCTGAGGACGCCTTGGGCACATGAATGTGTGTGCTTTTTATGCTTACCCAGAGCTTGAGGTTAGGGGAGGAGGGCAGAGAGGTTGGAGAGGAAGTGAGGCCCAGGATGGGTGAGGAGGAAGAGGGTCAGAATTAAATAAAGGAGGAGGGGATGAAGGGGGGAGGGAGACGGATGCAAAGAGGGGGTCTGGCGTCTCAGCCCTACTTTAAGGGGTTACACTGATCCTGCCTGAATACCCACAAATTCCCTGCCATAGTGTTTATTGAGGTCTCTCCTTGTTCCTAGTCTGTTCTCCTCCTTCATCCTCTGATTTTGCTGAGGCAAAAGATCACGCCTATTCCTAGCTGTGTGCCCAGTACCTGATGCACACGGGCACACGGTAAACATGTATGGGATGACCGGTTGAACAAGCAGACTAATGTATTTGTCTCTGCTTGCCTCCGTGTTGTCCTGGTCGTAGGTATGTGTGCAGGTGAACAGTACACTCTTTGACTGTCTTTTGGGGGCATTTGAAGAAAGCCTGCTATTTCTTTTTTTTCTAATCATTTGCAAAGCCATAGAGATTCATAGGCAGGCAGTGGAACGAGCTAATTTTTGGTGCAGTGAATTCTACCACTGAGCATGGGGTGAGTTCCTTACAGGGTCTCTGCTGCACTAAATGTCAAGTGGTTTTAGCCATTTGGAACAACCGTGTTTGCACAGGGCCTCGAGGAGCCAAGAAGAAGGGGGCAGAGAAGAAACTAAGCGAGCAGAGGAGTGGAAAGGGGCCTTCCCCGCTTTGCTGTGCAGCTGTGCCTGTCCGTCCTTCCAGACGATGCAGGGCTCCCCGAAGAGCGCTTGGCCTTCCCTCGCACAGCGGGACGAGGCCTCGCTCCTGGACTGCAGAGGTGTCTTTGTTTGGTCCCGCGATCGGACTTGCAGGGGACACTTGGGGTGGCCTGCGTGAGTCTGGCGTGGTCATGGGCAGGAGGGTGAGGAGAGAAGGGTGGGGTAGAGGTGAGCAAGAGTGGGATGAAGGGAGGGAAGGGGAGCAGGAAGGTCTTGTGGGCCCACGTCTCCTAATGGTCAGAGGCTCGAATGTAAATTTTGTTGTTATCTGCAGATGACTTGATAAAGTCAAGCTGTGATAGAGTGGACAGGATCAAAAGAGACTGGTGTTCATCGCACATCTTTAGCCCCAGGTCCTGTGGCCACACCCTATCACTAGCATATGTTGCAGTATGAATTGATATTTGTTTATAAAGTCTCTGTTTGGCTTTTGAATAGCATGATGTTGGTGCATTGCACATTAATTATTAAACGTGTTAAAACATTGGTTGGGAGGTTTGAAAATACACCACAGCTTTGGTTACTCTGCTTTGGCATCTCTTCTGATTTTAGTACCTCAGGACCCTCAAAAAAATGGAAGTAGCCTTGCCCCTCTAAAGCTCTGGGAGGTGCTGGCAGTGCCCGATGGCGTGGGAACTTTCCCAGCCTGCTGTACGTTCATCTCTAGCCCAGTGCTTCCCTCCTGCTGCAGGGGCAGTGGCGGTGGGAGCTGTTCTCAGGGTGGTCCTGTCACCCCTCAGCCGTGTGCTAAACCAGGAGAGCAGGGTCTTGTGAGCACAGACACTACCTCCTCAGTTATGTCCAGCACTATATAATTTGCACATCTTTTTTTTTTTTTTTTACAAATAGTTTATTGTCAAATTAGTTTCCACATAACACTCAGTGCTCATCCCCACAAGTGCCCTCCTCCATGCCCATCCCCCCTCCCCCCCACATCCATCAGTCCTCAGTTTTTGTCAGCATTCAAGA